CCCATCCGTCTCCGCTGACTCTTTATTTACCTTCCCGCCTCAACTGTACTACTCACTCTAAGTGTGCCGACTAATCCAGTCTCGTCTGATCGGTCCCCTGCTCTCCGAATTCATTCAGACTGCTGTGACGTTACCGGCATTGAATGAGAAGTGCGAACGCTCTGTCCCCATTACCTCTCGAGCCCCATGGACTTTTCCACACCTTATAAGTAAACCTCTCCCTATCCGGACCGTCTCCTTATGACGTTCTCTACTTTCAAACCTTCTCTAATCGGACTGCCAACTATGTGCCCTGTAATAACCTAGTCTCATCTGACCGGTCTGCTTCTTTGACCCTTTCCAGACCAGCAACATTTAAACGGTCTAGACTCTGTAGACTCAAGCTATATCGCACTTACGTTGACAGCCTGCTAGACTTGTTCACCCTCTATTTATATAGTCACCTCCACCTCTCGATCCACTCGATCTGCCCTCCTAAAATTAGCTGTTGGACTCAATGTCGTTTCGCCGACTAATCCTGTCTCGTCTGATTGGTCTCCTGCTTTCCAATTTCTCTCAGACTCCTGTGACATTACTAGCCATCGTTCAGATGACAGCGCCGTTCGTATCCAATCATTCTTCAATCGGACGAGTGTGTCTCTGTCATCCGTAACTCAGCCTCAGCTGATCAGCCAAATTCTATGGGACTGCTACCAGGCTACCGGGATGTTAGCGGTCTAGGCTCCGTCGATCCAAAGCACTTCCTCCCTCACCTTGATATCCTGCTGAACTTGTTCGCCCTACGTTGATATAACCACTTCTATCTCTGACCAGTCCAATCCTACTGACTCCACTTAACTTCCCAAATGAACCATAGGACTCAATCACAATGCGCCGACCAAGTCCAACCTCGGCAGCTCGGTCTTCTTCTCTCCTACTTCTGCGACGCTGCCTGCTATGCTCGGAAGACTGAACGCTCCGTACCCATTACCTCTCGAGCCCCGTGGACTTTTCCACACCTTATAAGTAAACCTCTCTCTATCCGGACCGTCTCCTCTCCTTATGGCCCCTCTACTATCATTTCTTCTCTAATCGGACTGCCAACTCTTAGTGCCTTGTAATAACCTAGTCTCATCTGACCGGTGTGCTCCTTTGACCTTTTCCAGACTAGCAAGATATACCGATCTAATCTCTCTAGACTCACAACTATGTCTTGCTTACATTGACAGCCCGCTAGACTTGTTTACCCTTTATTAATATAGGCACTTCCATCAGTAACCTGTACTCTCACATCTTCAATCGGATGACCGACGCTTAGTGCCATGCCCTTCTTTGTCATCATCTGATCAGTGTAATTCTCTGGGACTACTACGAGGCCTCCGGATGTGTCGACTTCTCGAGTCTCGTCTGTTTGGTCTCCGCCTTTAGGGTTCTCTCAGATTACCGGGATATTACCGGTGCTATTTCAGCACTGAACCTTTCATACTTCGCACGAGAGCGTCCTTGGCTCACCACACTTTAGTAGTAAACCTTTTGCATCCTGGCTATCGTCTCTTAATTGCTCTCATGAGTTACTCTTCGCACTGCCGTCCGCATTCTTCCGCTCATAGCTGATTCCTTAAATTTCCTTTTCTTCTTGGAACGTTGCTCTACCTATGTTGCTCCCGCATTCGGTCTCAACCTTGTTGTCCCTAGTTTCACCTAAGATGCCGCTCGCATTCGGTCTGCTGTCATCATCATCGGTTTACCTGTTACTCTCCAATAATCATATTAATCGCTTAACGTTGTCTACACGCTTTGTTATACCCTTCTTTCTACCTAGTAGTTGTAGTCTGAGGCACACCAGCGACGTGATGTAAAGAACGCGCTTGCAAATCATGTATACTAAACAAAATTACATAAATTTTAATGTATCATAGGCACCGTTGCGCGCCACCAGTCTGTGTTTGTGCTTCTTGCTTCGTTGCTGTCTTTCTGTTTGGCTGCCTCTTGTCCGTTGCCCGTTTTCTCTCGAGATTTCCATAGATACATCTGCCAAAACAAGAAGGTTTATCCACTGGGAATAGTCGACCCACTTTCAATAGCCAGCTGGTTTACATGCTTGTTCTTTTCTCCGGGAGATGAAGAACCCACACATCGTTCCAAATGGAGCTCTTTCCGCCATTCTGGAGAAGCTACCACCACGGGGTCTAAACAAATGGGTTTAGCTCGCCTCGTACTCAAAGTAGAGCAATTTACTCACCAGGAATAATGTAGTTACATGGATCCACTGTTCCACAACCGGAGACTGACAATTCTGGCGTGATTACATTCACTGCCTCAAACATTCCGATTCTCCAGTCACCTGGAGCTTTTCTGATGTCATTTCACGGACAGCACTGCGCGCGCATAAGCGGCTTTTCCGATGATTTTTCCTGGAGCTCTCACTTGGTTATGGAGACAATTACACTTACATTTGAAGGAAACACTTGTCCACTTCGCGGAGAATAGCATTTATTCCTGTTTTGGACATATTCAGACACAAGAAACAACTGCACTCACCGTCCCTATGACAAGTCCAGCATGGATAGCTGGACACGGGTTGCGAGCCGGACAACATAATAGAAAAAGCCGGCCTCTATTACCAATATGTTTACTCACCCGCATCATTATCATTCGACTCTGGGACTCGTTTACATCATTGACTGGCTTCAACGACTATTGCCGGTTCAGTACTAAGCCATTTGTCCAACCAACGAAAAATTTTGGCTGTCAACCGACTGCGAATAATAGAGTGCAAAATCGGTCTATACGATGTATAGCCGACTAGCACTACAGTCCAACGGAAGCTACGACAGTGTTCCAGGACGTGGTGGGTTTTCGCCTGGCAAGCGTTCTCCCTATAAAAAGCCACAAATGTCCGCTTAACAACACTGCAACGTGGCGGATGTGACTCGCCACAAAATAAAGTCACTGCTATACATTTCACACTGACGCAGTCCTCAGCCTCCAACATCGAACCTGTGCAACTGATTTTACTATGAAGAATGCTTTAGTGAAGTACCGATCATCCCGGCTTCGTAATGGTCATTGATTGCACTAAACCTTGTTCGGGCTCCTGTGCTCATGGATCACTACATGTCAAATTTACCCCCCACTTGTATCTTGACGCAACAGATTTTGCGCGCCACGGCGCCATTATGATCCTTGGTCTGACTATTACCTGACAATATGCTCGCTCTTATGGACTACATCTTTTCGTTTATTCCTTTCATTGTAACGAAATGTTTTAATATTCCAAAGAAGCTGTGCTTGTATGCATATTTGATCATGCCTTTTAGAGGTGTGTCTCGTTTTACAGAGAATATACTATTTATTTATTTATTTATTTATATAAATACATATAAATTTTAGTTTATTTGTTTATTTAACTTATAACCCATTAACCTATACCGACTGCTCAACATCTTAGGTAACGTATAGCATGCAGGTTAGGCTTGCAACTAGTCAACTGGACTACACCTGGTCGTCCGCGGCACGTGGTAAAACTTTTGCTTTTCCCTACGTAAATTGTGCTTCAATAACACAACTTGTAAACAGGCTTTCGTTAGGTTACAGCGCTTCACAATTACCAGGAAATATCGGAATATAAGCATGAGCTACAGCGTCAAATTGGCAGCAACTTCACATGCAATCACAACTTACTGTACAGTAAGGTCAAGCGCAATTTACCTGTAAAGCAAAATTCGTTACGCTGACACTCGCGAGGCTGTAGAATTTATTTGACGGCAGTGCGCAACCGCAAGAGCTGTTTCATCAAATCCTGCAATGACCTCGCCTGTTAGTTACCTACCCGTCTATCTCCCTGGCAAGTGTTCAGTACACTCGCATAGTCGAGAATAACATATTTATTTATTTATTTACTTAAGAGAAGATCCTAGGAAAACGCACCACTGCAGGCTGCTGTCTCCGAAGCCGATGACGGTATCCACCGAAGGTTCCTGCAAAGTTGTGCTGCAGCTGTAACTGTCTGACAACACTGCGACGTGGCGCATGTGACTGGCCACGCAATGAAGTCACCGCCCCTAACAAATAGGCAGGTTGACGGATACCACATTTACAAATTCTGCGCATAGCTACTTTCGCACGAACATACCTACATATCTGATTAGTGACATACCACTATTCTTAAATATGTTTCAGTTTTTCCTCAAGCTTGACTCAACTGACCCACACTGTGTACACAACCTCATCGGACTAGTACCGCATCAACATACTCCACATTAGTGATCGGATTCTTACCTCTACATCACACATTCTGTGGACGTAGACTTCGTACAACCTTTGGGACTACACTACTGTCTCCAACTGTACTACTTCCGCCCTTGGTGCTGATAATCCCTCTATCCTGTACAATATTACAATATGCTGATAATGCCCAAAAGGCGTGCCTCTCTTTGTCGAGAATAAAATATTTAGTTATTTAGTTATTTAGGCGGAGCTTCCTCAAGTGCAAAACCAGAATTGACCATGCAATGTGGCTTCCCGCGTGGTTTGTCCCAAAGACCTTCAGCAATATGTATAGGCTGTAAAAACAATGAAAACAATTCACTGACTTTTGTTACTGTGTATAACTCAACAAAGCACATGTACAAAATACGCTTGCGTGCCTTTAATTTGGGTAATAATTTTGGCAATGAAATCACGTTAAATTAATTTAGCGACGCGTAGTCGCTCTTACCCGATTCAATGCTACAGGTTGTGGGCCATGAGGTATATAAACATCTGTCAATATCCTTGGTGCGTAACAACGCATGCTCAACTGCATTCCATTTTCTTCCTCAGCGGTTTAATGTTGCTTTGCATCACACTCATTGGCGGACACGAAGTACACGTCTAAAGCATGCCATCCTCAGGTTACAAGCGTATGGGTGGTAAAACCGACGCTCTACATGACTCTCTCCACTTGTAAACAATGCTTTAGCGCATCTTCTGCACGGAACAGGCATCCATCACTGTTACTTTTGCCTACTTTCTTTCAGGCCTTCGCTGCTGGCGGCATCCTGCATCCACTGAAGTGTTTGTGTGCAGCCGTCTATCGTTCACCCAAGCGGGTTGGCTGTGGAATCAAGTGGCACCTCAGCGCACTTAACAGCAGTGGCGCTTTCCTCTTTGCAGATCCAACACGTGGTTTCCTTTGCATCTCCGACGAAGCCCAGAGTTCCACAGCGCTTCCCGCGACCTGATATTCACCAATCGCTTCTGGTAATTTGTTTCTGCAACCACACCCTACATCTCCTCTGGTTGCCGTCCGGTTGCACAAAACACCCTTGAACTTATGTTTTAAACGATTCACATACACCGCAATGCAGGGCCATGGGCACCTTGTAGTACCGAGTGGAACAATGCACAGGTTTTTCTTCTCGGCTGGACATCAAGACCACGAAAGTTTGCGGGGACCTCAATAACCGCGCCTAGACCACCAATCCCACGCTGCGCAACTGTGTGGATAGCTCCGCCATAGCCACAGCCACACTGCATAAACTTGTGGCGTGGTCAACCGGGGTTTACTCCACTTCCATTTGTGTCGGCCTCCGTGCAACCTAACTTGATGCACGTCACTTGGAAGGCACGCTGTAGCAGTTGTGCTCACCGTCCACTGGTAACTGCTAACTACGCCGTCCAAAGTAAATAAATGTAAATAAATAAAGTTATATTTCTAGGCTTGCTAGTTGCTTTGCCCGCAAGTGTTCAGGTCAACATTTACACAACTCCTATGCGCTTGTATAGAAAGTGAGCACCGTGAGACCATAGGTTCCTTGTTTACAAACACGAATAAACGGGATTTGTATGTCTACAGCTTGTGACCGGGTGGATATACACACCCACTGGGCAATTTATCTGGCTCCTTCTGGCGATCTTTGTGCTAGTTGATTGGGTTATAACTAAAGGTTGCGCAGAGCCTTACTTTTGCACCTTTTCTTTGGAAGCAGGATCCAATGCTAGAGGACCTTCAATATAATTTGTTTAGATCATTCTCGCGCGTTCTCTGGTCCCTTCTAATGTAGGAAAATGGAAAGAAATAAGAGCGGCGGATTTAGCAAGTACAAGAGAGGGTGTAAAATAATTCCTAGAAATGCAACCTAAAAGGAAACGCGCTTTTTACGGGACTTGTTAACGTGGCATACTTAGCTGGAGGCAGGTCATGGTAAAGTCCATGGACAGAAATATTGCAGACGTTTTAGCGGCTTTTTACAGCAAAAGAAATAGGCTTGCAAGCTAGCAAATAAAAGTGAACATCAGGACCTACATAGCTACCATGCTGCTTTGCGCGTTTTAGCTCTCGTCCTGGTGGACCAGCAGAAAGGGTCCAACACTACTTTGGTGATGAAAGCCGATAAAATGGCTAGATGATTCATTACAGCGGTGTGCAAAGTCGCTGCTGTAGAAGCAAGTCAACTACAGTATCTATGTTGATAACGTGCTGCATCGCGCGAGCCAGTTAAGACTAACAAGTTGCGAGAGGAGAGCAGCAGTTGTGAGTTGCGCACTAAAAAGCCAGGGCCATGCTGAGCGCAGATTTATGGGCAAGCCCACAAACAGTGGTACTAGTAAGGGCAAAGTTTTGACAGAAAGCCAGTAGAGGACTTTGCGGACGTTTGCCGCAAACATACTAAGCCGTGGAAGCATGTAGCAGAGGTGAATTAATTAATGGAAAGTCAACAGTATGATAGGCGCAGGTTTATGACAGAGCTCCAAAAGAGTGGAGGCAGATGAGGGCAAGGTTAAGCAACCGAAGGTCACTATCTGATCATGCCTTCATGGGCGTGCCTCGCGTAGTCGAGAATAAACTATTTATTTATTTATTTATTGAGTTTAGCGGCCATTCACAGCCAAGTCAGCAGTCCATGAAAGGTAATAAATAGGAAGTGAGTGTCAAAATCTGCATGGCTACTGCGCTGCTTCGCGCGGCGGAGGTGTGATTCTGGTTGGTCAGAAGGGGAGGGCTAACGCCTATTTGGATAAATATGTGAGTCTGAAGGCCAGGGGTGCTGTAGACCAGCAGCACTAGGCTAGACACGTAATGGAACGGTAATGTGCTGCGTTGCACAATGTGAGCAAGCGTTGCTAGATTGTTAACGTAAGGTAGCTGAAGCATGAAAAGTATTGGTAGCCCAGTAGAAATATACTGCTGTGCGGCTGCGTTACACTGGCTATTTAGTAGCAAGAGCTTGCTATAGCTTTGATGTAATACCTATAGGGTTTTGCTTGACAAAAGGTGGTCAGGCCGTTGATCCCACAACTGATCTTCAGGGTTGTTAATTTTGTGAAGCTGCGCTGTGGTATGAGGTTGATGCATCTATGTAGAGCTGAGCGAAATTGCGCAACGGACTCTAGGGACCTTATTGATAATGCTAGCGCGTTTCATGCGAAGGCATACATGTATAGAAAAAATTTACCTCGCATGTTGCATTTGGCTCTTGGAAAAATGAAGATGTGTGGTCTACTGCGCAGAGGATATCAAAGATCAGCGGTCGTTATAGTAAAACCATGGTTTCTTGCATCGGAGGTTTTGAGAATTTTGAAGCAGAAATATGAAATTTAGCTTTATGCGCAATAAACAGAAGAGCTCCAGTTGCAGCTGGTTGCACCTTTCATGGTGAATTAGTGTACAGAAAGGGCTAATAGCCGTTACGTGAAAGAACACTGGACCTTTTCTACTGTTATGCTGTCACTTTTTGCGCATTGCAAAGCACGATGGAGCAGTATTATAAAAGGAGACGTGCACAAACATTGTAAAGTGCTACCGTAGATTCGGCCAAGGACATCGTTCTAAAGATGCGTCTAATAAATGACCTAGCCTTTGCAGTGCTGTACCTCGCTGGTTCCCCAAAACTAAGTAACGCTGAGAAGCGTACTCCGAGGTCTCTCAATGCTGTGCAAATGCCTAGTGTTTTGTCCTTCATGGTCAGCACTTTTGGGGGTATGAAATATTTGTGGCACATGATTATGCACTTTTCCTGCGAAAATCCAAGCTTTCAGATTTTGATCCAGCTTTCCAGTGCCATGAGGTCACATTACATATATGAGAAACTTTTCGGCTGCGGCTCATTCCCATTACCATGCTTTGCATTTCTTCATCCTATGTACGAGGTCTCTTTGCCATTGCTATTACCAATGTTGGTGCCTGGCGTTGCCTAGCTCCGTCTTATTATCTTTAGTATGACTGGCAAGTCACCTGAAAGGCTAAGCACGCGGCTGATTTCCACTTCATTTTCACAGGCTTCCTTTAGGACTACGATGGCTCATCGCACACAACCATCCCATTTGCAAATGTTTCCATCCCTTCCCCTAATAAATAGGTATATCTCTAGAACGGCTAGTGACTACACCCTTGAGGGTTCAGATCAATCGTTACATTAATCTTATACTCTTGCATGGAAGTAGACAAAATACGAGTATATGTTCCAAGTTGGCAATTAGAAACGCATTGGCATTGTTTGGTGTACAGCTGATGGGGTCGCAGGCGCCCACCTTGAAATGTTTCCGTGTCCTTCGGGCGATATCGAGCTCCTTGTTCTTTTGTTGTGAAAGCCGCGCAGTGCTGTAGTTGTGTCGTTTTTCTTTGGAACAGGATCGAATTAACCACAAGTTCACTTCAAATTCATTGGACTTTTGTTGGCATGCTCAGTTGCCACAACTGTTGGTGCGCATATGGAAGAAATGAGAGTGGCGGAATTATAAGGGATAAGAAAAGTTAAAATAATTTCGAGCACTGCAGATGAAAAGAAAAAGGATTTGTTAAGAGACATACTAAGACGATATGCTTCATTAGAAAAATACAAATTAACAAAATGTTAACCAAAATTTTCTTACGCTGATTATGCTTTCTGGCGCGAAAGATCAACTTGAGTAAATCTCAGAAAAAAGAAAAACCTATTCCAAGGCTATAATGTTGCGTAAAGTAGCACAAAAATAGGCTGCTCAGGAGAAGCTTTAACCGCTGATTACGCTGAAAGTAAAAACAATCAAATGGTAGTGTGCGAGTTATTTGCAATTGAATGATGGTCTACGAATAAGGACATTATTCAATTTGCTAAAATTGGCTTTCCGAGTTGCAAGCATATAGCAGAAAAAAAGAAAAGAAAATGTATAGGGTAGCGAAGCTTTATATATTCCAAATAGGCATAGCTATGCAGAAATGCTCTAATTAGCCCGTAATACCCTGCAACAAATAGGGACTGCAAAGGTGACCGAAAAGTACACTTTGCAGACATACATTGCAAATATACGCAAATAAGGTATAACTTGGCGCGAAAACGCTAGAAATCCAGTGAGGAATATTATGTCTGTATGGCAAGTCAGGAGAGCTTCTAATTAACCCACGGTTAGAAGACCTCAGTCTACCATTTTCAGTGGATACTTGGCCACTTAAACAACTATGAATGTAGAGTTTAGTACTTTCTAAGCCTCTAAGTGTTTCTAAAGCTTATATCAAGGCCGCATGAGCCAGGTATACCTGAGTAACACAGGAGACTTTCGGATTATTTGACACATTTTCGCCTGGAAAATACACACATTTCTTAGCTAAACATCGCGAGTTTTATCCCTTAGAGCCGATTTTCTATATTCATGAGGTTATGTCTCCAACATCAGTGAGCTAGAGTAGCCAGTCACTAACAATAAAAAAGAGTATGGGAAAATTTAGTAAGATCTAGAAAATTGCTTTGGAGCGTGAAATCCATTTTGGTCTGCGTTGGTGGGGCATTACCAACTCTAATTCTGGGGTTTGAGCTTGCTCAAACATGAGGGATTGGTATGCCCCACGTATTGATGCACACCATCGTGCCGCTTTTTGATGAATTTTGAGCTATTCCTCTCCAAGTTCCGAAGCAAGTGCCAGCGGTGTTCATCCCGGTGGCAATGTTAACTAGTACTATACTGTCGCACCGGCTATTCCTTTGCGGTTTTCCTGGCAACAGCTGCTCTAGCACCATAAGCATAGAGTGATAAGATAAATCCGGAGTAGAATAGTAACAAAAACCAGTGGGAGTTGGTCGTTTATTCGCCATTACGCATAACGCATGGTAGGCTTCGGAGCACGCTGAAAGCTAAATAACACACGGGCGGCCAAGATGGGAAAATTGGTGATGGAAATTTTCCGGTGGTGCAGCCAGCCAGTGTGGCAGAGGCCCCTCTGTCGTTGGTTAGCCGTCGTGCCATTGAAATGGGATCGGTAAATGCG